CCTGAAGATTACACACACAACCCCCAAACATTATTATTATTATACAGGATTTTTATAGCGCCAACAGTTTGCTCAGAAAATGTTGTTCTTTGGGCAATGGGAAGCCAGTGGAGGGATGGCAGACATGGAACGGTTGGTAAGGTGGATGTGTCTGGCAGCAGCAGTCATGATAGACTGAAGAGGGGATAGCCTGCGATTAAGTAGGCCAATGAGGAAGGAGTTGCAATAGGCAAGAGAGAGAACAAGGGAGTGAATAAGTTGCTTAGTGGTTTCGGTGGTTAAAAACAGGTGCATCTTGGAGATGTTGCAGAGGTGAAGTCTACAAGATTTGCACACATGATTGGATTTGGGACAGAAAGGACAGATGGGAGTCCAGGATTATACCTAGTACCCTAGCATGAGGGGAGTGACTGATGGTTGTAATATTGATCTTGATGGAGAAGTCAGGGGAGGGGCACAGGCTAGAGGGAATATTATGAGTTAATTTTGTAGAAAGATTGAGTTTGAGGAAGCGGAATGACATCCATACTGATATGTCACTTAGTAGGTTAGTAATGGGAGAGGAGACTGAAGGAGTGAGATGAGGAATAGAAAGATAATTTGTGTGTCATCAGCATAGAAATGGTACTTGAAGCCAAGTTTATTAAGTGACCAAGGGAGGAGGTGTAGATGGAGAAGAGAAGGGGTCCAAGGACAGAACCTTAAGGGACCCCTACAGAAAGAGGAAGTGAAGAGGAGGAGACAGAGTTCTAGGTAACACTGAAGGAGTGCTGCGATAGGTAGGAGGAGAACAAGAAGAGAGTGGAGTTTTTTGAGTAGGAGGGGATGGTTAACAGTATCAAAAGCTGCAGAGAGGTCAAGTAGTAGAGTATGGAGTAGTGGCCATTCGTTTTTAGCAGTCAGTAAATTATTAGTGAGTTTTAGTAGGGCAATTTCAGTGGAGTGTAGTGGGCGAAAACCAGACTGTAAAGGGTCAAGAAGGTTGTTGTAAGTGAGGTGGGAGCTCAGGCAATTGTAGATTAGGCACTCTAAGAGTTTAGAGGTAAATGGCAGCAGGGAGATGGGTCTTAAGTTCAGGTTTGTGGGGTCCAGGGAGGGCTTTTTAAGTATGGGAGGGGAAGGTGCCAGTAGAAAGGGAGAGATTGAAGATGTGAGTGAGGGAGTATAGGATAGAAGAAGAGGGTGACCGTAGTAGTCGTGAGGGAACAGGATCCAGGGGGCAGGTGGTGAGATGGATTTCTGAGAAAACTTTAGCGACTTGTTCGGTAGTAGCAAGATCAGAAGAAGAAAGTGCTGAGGGTGGTTTAATATAAGGTATGCTAAGTGGATAGATGTCCGTGCAGTGAAGATGCCCTCACGAATTGCATCAATCTTGCATTTGAAATGAGTGGCAATCTCGTAAGCAGTGAGTGAGTTACTGGGTGGAGGTGGTGGAGAAAGTAGAGCGTTAAAAGTAGGGAAGAGACAGTGAGGACTGGATGACAAGATATTAATAAGAGTGACAAAGTAGGCTTGTTTGGAAGCACGGAGGGAGGAATTGTATTTTAAGGAAGCAGATTTATATAGGGTGAATGCTGGCTGGGATTGGGTTTTACGCCACAATCTCTGCAGTGCACGGCTATGTCTTTTAATTTTTCAGGTGTCATCAGTCTGCCGAGGTTGTAATGGTCGGGGCTGATACTTCGTGTAGTTAGAGGAACAAGCGAGTCTAGTGTGGAAGAAAGCGAACTGTTGTAGACAGAAGTGGCCAGGACAGGACAGGGGAGAGATTCTGTCATAGAGGTGGTCGGTTGCAGAGTAGAAAAGAGAAGGCTAAAAGTTGTGATGGTTTCTGTGGGTGATTGTTTGCTGCTTGGAGGGATAGGTGTTTGAAGAGGAGGACACTGTGACGTTGGTGAGATTGTGATCAGAGAGAAGAAAGGGGTGTTGGTGAGGTTGTAGGGACTGCAAAGATGGGAGAAAAGGTCTAGGGTATTCCATCACAGTGAGTGGAGGACTGTGTCCATTGTGTTAGGGCAAAAGATGAGGTTAGGTTGAAGAGTTTGGAAGTATCTGGGTTGTTAACATTAATGGGGATTTTGCAATCACCAAGAATGATAGTGGGTATTTCAGAGGAGAGAAAGTAGGGTAGCCAGGCAGAGAAGTCATCATCAAGAGAGTGTAACATTGGTGAAAGAGGCCAATATATCACTGCGATCCTCAGAGAAATAGGAGAAAACTGCTGAATACAGTGAGTCTCAAAAGAAGAGAAGGATAGAGAAGCAGGGGTAGGGTGCTCAGTTGGTATAGAAGCAAACAAAGTCCACATCCTTTCCGACCACTGGGTCTGGGTGAGTGAGTCCAGTGGCCTCCTTAGGAAAGTTCTGCGGGAGAAGCAGAATCTGCTGCTTGGAGCTAGGTTTCTGTAATTGCTAGTAGCTTAAGGGAGCGGGAGACAAAAAGGTCATGGACAGGGGTGAGCTTATTACAGACAGAGCGGGCATTCCAGAGTGCACATGAAACAGGAAGGGTGGTTTTTAGGAGCATGGGGATTGAGATTAAATTGAGTGGATTGCGGCTATTCCTGGAGGAAGGAGGGTGCCTGGTGTAGGGGTGAGATACTGGAGGACCAGGGTGTGGGGAGATATCCCCAGAGGTTAGGAGGAGGGTGAGGAAAGTAAGATGGGAGTGGGATGTAAATGAGTGCACGTTCTCCTGTCCTGGTGTTTGGGTCAGCAGGTGGGTTAAGTATTAGCAGGAGGTGATGAGAGCAGTAGTAGGGAGATGGTAGAAGTGAGGGTGATATGTATAAGCTTTGGGGTGGAGCAGAGGGGTAAAGAAATGAGATTTCGAGAACAGAGGATACTAATATGAAAAGGAGGAGTAGATGCGGCATATTAACAGGTACATGGAGTGGGAATCGGACTTGTAAGAGATGTTTCCCAAGGTGTTTTGCTTGCAGTCCATCCAGAGTGCAGTTAGAGTTCTTTGTTGTATCTTCCTTCTGCTTTGGTTATCCTACTGTGTTCGACTTCTTCTTTGCACTCCAGCAGAAAATGCATTGTTCAACTGCTGCTTCACACTCCAGCAAAAATAAAAGTAACATAAAAATAAAAAGACAAGGTTGTGCTTACTAAATAGATACCCAACATGCCAAACCTTAAATTTGTGTGTGCCAATAAAATTGTGTCAAACTTCAGTACCCTATATTTTCTATAGATGATGCTTCAAAAGCCCTTTTAGGTCATCAGTTTAGCATTACGGAGGTGGCTTGGTGCTAGAATTATTGCTCTCACTCCAGCATGCGTGGTGATATGTAATGTGTATAACACTTGACATTTTCACGAGTCTGCGCCTGACATGTACGTTTATGTTCGTATGTGCATATATGTGGGGGTGTAATTTTTTTTCTGTGGGGATGCTTGGGTGTAACTCTTATTTTTACCAACATTTTTTTTTTTATTTTATCACAGAGAGGACTCAAAGTTTCCTATGTGATAATTTTTTGGTGATGGGTTCTCTTTATCTGTGATCCCTTAGCCTAATGTCCATGTGTTTTTGATGCAGAAGAAAATTCACTGTACTGCATCTGGTGTGAATTGGCACAGACAGCAATAAAAACCTGACAAGCATCTACTCCCTCTCTACAACTTAAATAAAAAAAAAGTGCCTTTTAATTATACTTTATTGAGAGAAAAATGTCATTGATTAGTAAGGTTTATCTCATGTGAATTGTAAGTCCATATTGATGATCCATGTTTATCAATTTTAAAGATTAGAGCTGCTAAATAGAGGACATAAATAGCATGATTTAAGGAGAAATTCACTTTCAATTAGAACTATTACAGTTCGGATGAAAATCTGTTATCTATTGTATTGTCTATTGTGGAATTATTGGTTATTTTTATTTGTTTGTATGTATTGTGATCTAGAGGCTTTACAGATGTGTTTCTAACACTGTATGTGAATAGGCAGATCCACAACTGGTTGAGGTTGGAGGTAATGGCAGCTTGGTGTGTAGACGCCAGGGAAGAACTTTTATAGTAGCGAAAAAAAAGACCTGAGAAAGCTAAATGAATATTTGCTGTTTTGTATCTTGAATGCAGTTATTTTTAAGAAAACAAGTGATTATGTTGGTGTCCTGTTGTTGGAAGCACCTGTCACATGGACAGTTGATGACACCGTTGGTGTGAGATTACATGCAGCCACAGGCAGCTTATTTTTCAACTCATACTCCATACCTGGAAGAGCAATCCTTTCAAAGTTTCTGCTGTTTTTAATTTTTTTTTGTACTTTTAATAAAGCAAAATTGTTTTTATTGATGTGCTGAAGCAACCCCATCTATTTTTATTTCTCTGTGGAATAGTGAATGACAGCTGTGGACAGATTTAAAGGTACTATATAATCTGAGGATCCAACAAGCTATGACGATTGTACTGCTGTATTGTGCCACTGGTAGTCCTTCCATATCATTGTTTTTACCATAATGTATACATCTGCATTTTAATTGTGTTCGTCTTTGCTTCCATCTTTCTAAAATGTTAAACTAAAGCTAAAACTAATAAATCTTAAAGTGTTACTAAACCCACAACAGTAAAATCATGATGTATAGGCAGAAAAACATGCTTGTCCTACTCACTGTGAAACTTAAATGGTTAATCCTCTGCTTTGTATAAATAGGATCCTCCCCTTTTTCCACTGTCCCCAATTAATCTCCTGATAGAACAGAGCCTTGGGGGCAGGCTGCACATGCTCACTTTGGTGCGTATTGCTAGAGTTTTTTTTTCCCCTTTGGGAGAGTTCATGTGATCAGCACAGGTCCAATTAGTGCTGTCTAGACAGAGGGTCAGGGGTCCTGCAGCCTCATAGGACAATCGGAGGAGAATGAAAACTTCTCTTACAAGCTTTAACCAGTGCTCTGCTGGACACTGATAGAAGTCACAAGACTGCTCTAACTGGTGAGAAAAGGTATTTAGCAGTTTATATTTACTAAAATAATTGCACTTCCATGTTCTGTGTACTGTGGGAGACCAGATATAGTGAATGCAGCTATAGCAGCTTGTAATCCTACACATGTATTTCCTGTCCTAGACTGACAATGCTCATGCTGTGCTGTAGCTTTGGAAGATCAATATGGTCACCACATTACAGGACGTATGTTAGGACTACAGATTCAGTGGTGTGCCCGTTCACAACTGAGCAATAGGGGTCGACTTATTAAAACCGGTGAGTGCAAAATCTGGTGCAGCTATGCATGGTAGCCAATCGGCTTCTAACTTCAGCTTGTTCAATTAAGTTTTGACAAAAAAAAAAACAAACCTGGAAGCTGATTGGTTTCTCTGCAGAGTTGCACCAGATTTTGCACTCTCCAGTTTTAGTAAATTAACTCCATATTGTCACTTGAAGCTTGATCGAAAAAGTGAGTTACTATTTTTGGGGGCAGATTTGCATTCTTTGGCCCCAATAAAGTTCAATGCCAGCACTTGGAAAAAAAATGTGCTTTAAATGGCCAGTAAAATGTCTAGTAACTAGCTTTTCAATGGTTAAAAATAAAGAAAAAGTGCTCAGGTGTCAACCCCCCCCCCCCCAAACATTAACCTAACAATGAAAGACACTGAGCTCAAGTATGAATGGGCCTTACTTTTCCTTTAAGACATGTTGATAAATGAAGTCCAGAGTGTTAGATTACTACTGTACTATAATATATTATCCTCCCAGACCACCTTGTTGCTGCGGCTGGAACTTCTCACCTAGAGTCCAATCCTTCCTGGCCAAAATTTTATTACTGCAATCTTTTTATTTTCTGCTTTTTCCCTCAAAGAAGCTGCCAAACTGTGTGTGAATCATGGAGTTTAGACATGCTCTCATAAAAAAGAATTGGCTCATTCTAGATGTAATTCTCCTGATAACACTTTTTATTCAAATATTCTTAGATCTTGAAACTTTTATTTGAGAAGGAGAGCTGTTTTAACAGCAGCCATAAAGCGAGAGAGAGGGCGCAATGACTGTCAGTTTGTGCAACCATCTGCGCTTAAGCGATTGCTGGACTAAATCTCCCATAATGCTCAGTCTGCCTCTATTTCCCCTCTGGCTGGTGACCAGTTTGGTATTAACAACAAGTTTGTTCTTTTTGACTAGAACAGGGGGTCTCCAAACTTTCTATGCAAAGGGCCAGTCAGACTCTAGGGGGGCCGAACTGTGGTCCAGTGGGGGTAGAAAATGCCCTGCCATCGGTAGGAGTAAACAATGTCATAGGCTTGGTGGTCGGGGGGGGGGGGGGGGGGGGTGGAAATTACATCATTGGTTTACTGTGGGAGAATTGGTGCCCCTTCATTGGTGTTATTGAAAGGAATAGTGCCCCATCGTTTGTATCAGTGGGAAGAATAGTGCCCCATCATTGGTATCAGTGGGAGGAATAGTGCCCCATCACTGGTGTCAGTGTAAGAAATAGTGCCCCATCACTGGTGTCAGTGTAAGGAATAGTGCCGATAATTGGTGTCAGTGGAAGGAATAGTGCCCCGTCAGTGGAAGGAATAATGCCCCATCATTGGTGTCACTGGAAGGAATAATGTTCCATCATTGGTGTCAGTGGAAGGAATAGTGCCCCATCACTGGTGTCAGTGGAAGGAATAGTGCCCATCACTGGTGTCAGTGGAAGGAATAATGCCCCATCACTGGTGTCAGTGGAAGGAATAGTGCCCCATCACTGGTGTCAGTGGAAGGAATAGTGCCCCATCACTGGTGTCAGTGGAAGGAATAGTGCCCCATCACTGGTGTCAGTGGAAGGAATAGTGCTCCGTCATTGGTGTCAGTGGAAGGAATAGTGCTCCCGTCATTGGTGTCAGTGGAAGGAATAAGTGATCCGTCATTGGTGTCATTGGAAGGAATAATGATGCCCCGTCATTGGTGTCATTGGAAGGAATAATGATCCATCATTGGTGTCAGTGGAAGGAATAATGTTCCATCATTGGTGTCAGTGGAAGGAATAGTGTTCCATCATTGGTGTCAGTGGAAGGAATAATGCCCTATCACTGGTGTCAGTGGAAGGAATAGTGCCCCATCACTGGTGCCAGTGGAAGGAATAATGATCCATCATTGGTGTCAGTGGAGGAATAATGTTCCATCATTGGTGTCAGTGGAAGGAATATGCTCCATCATTGGTGTCAGTGGAAGGAATAGTGTCCCAAGGGCCGGATAAAGGCAAACAAATGGCCATATCCGGCCCGCAGGCTGCAGTTTGGAGACCCCTGGACTAGAACATGAACATCTGAAGTTTGGGTCTCATTGACAAAAATGGAGGATAGAAGTGTATTGATCGTGTCAAAAAACAAACGACCCCCCCCCATCCAATTATGAAAAGACTGCTGCAAAACTGTAAAAAAAAAAGCAGAACCCTTCCGTACTTTTATAAATTTTTTTATCTAAGCAAGGGGACAGAATCTGAATAAAGCAGTCTCTTGCTTGAACGCATGGAAAAGCGTGACCACGTGAAATGGCATGAGTTTCCATGGAGGCAGCGCCGGTATATGCAGTGTGATTCTGATGTCAATTTAAAGAGGGTCCTGTGTGAGTTTAGCACGGTGCGACTTGTAGCTACATAGACTTGAATGGAAATCGCTTATCTTTCTTGAGATAACATGATTACATTTTCTGCAAGTCTTTGCTTTGTTCCTTATCTCCCATCCCTGGTCCATATCGGGAGAGAGACCGACCCGCCTGAATCACTACCATTAAAATCACACCGGCAGGAAAATCACACCGTATCTATGTGAACCTAGCCTTCGTGTGGTGTTGGCTATGAGACCCACGCCGTTTAATCAGGTATCTGTTCATATTGCACCAAAACAGATCACTTTTTCCATTCTATGAAATGGGAGTGTGATACTCACTCCTTTATTGACAGCACTTGTGATTGGCTACTCAGACACCCAGCATTGTGACATGAGGGTAGGGTGACATTACTTTGTAAGCTCCTAAATTGCAGTCAAAGTGGTGGTAAACCCCAAACCAAAAATGTAATATATTGCAGCTTACCAGTCATGATATGTGGCGGCTACATTAGCTTTCCTTTTCTTTGGCTTTTTTCCTCTGTTTTTACCTGGTGATCTGGCCATTAACACACCTCTAGCATTAGTGAGACACGAGGTACAGTATTGTAAGTCAAAAGGTGGAGGGGTGGGAAGTGTTTAATATACCAGCAGATTTAAATACATGATCAAATTGAAGTCAAACCCCAGCTCACACTTTATAATTGGTTACAACAACCATTTTTTTTCTTTTTGGGATAAATGGTCTGTCTGATACATTCTGCTGGAGAGCTTGAACTTCTGAAAAACAACAAACTTGCTAGCTGGATCACCGGATGAAACTAGAAGAAAGCCTAAAAAAATAAAACTAATGCAGCCATTACATTGAAGAGTTGGTAAGGTGCAATATAATGAATGTTTGCTTTTTGGTTTAATACTGCTCTAATTCTTCTTGCTCCGTGTCCAAGTGGCTCTGCAGGGATGTGAAGTGTGAGGTATGTGCAGCTGGGTCAGCTAGTATACAAGTCCCAAGCAGCACAGCCATCTGATCATTCTCAGGAGAGCGGTCAAACAATCATGCTGGATCTTGCTAGACAATTTCATGGTGTGCTTCTTTTGCTCTTCTACTGGTCGCTGCAACATGTTAATTGAATGGGTTAAAGAAGAAAATCTGCATTGACTTCATATGGAAAGAACTTGCCAGTGTTAGGTTTTTAGGCCTTTTCCAATTGAAATCTGTTTCACTGGCCCAGAGTATATATGCAGTATTTGCAATTTGGCAGTCTCATTGTTAATTTTGGATGGCTAAAACACCACTCATAAAAATGTTTTTGCATTTGGGAACCTGTTTAGCTAATATTATTTTCAGGAGGCAGTTTAAATCTTAAGTTGTATTTCATTGCTTCTCGTTCAGCTTTGTCAGCAAGGAAATGTAATTTCTTAACCGTACTTTTCCCTAAAATGCTGAATTGTATGTTTGAGACCACCTTCGAATACACTTCTGACGATGTGTTTTGCTGATACCTAGTAGACTTCATGACTTAAAAACTGTCAGAATGCATGAAAATGTGCATAGATTGCCATTCTGAAGTGACCATACTGAGATGAAAGTCATTTAGACCTCATTCACGTGGGTGTATCTATGCGTACACCTGAGCGAAGGCAGTTTTTGCCTGCATGGGGTGTTGTGACCGTGTGTTCAGGGCACTCAAATCCGCATGGCTGTCAAATTGGGACCAGTGGCTGTGTCTATGCAGCTGCTGCATCCAAATAGACTTAATTGGGACTGCCTGCACATGGACACATAGCACACTTGTGTATCCCAGGCAGGTGAGGACAGTCCTTTGCATGGGTGTGTACATACATCCATCCATGTGGCAAGACATTTGTCAGGCTGTAAGCAGTAATTAGTTACATTTATAAAGCACCTTCCTGATCTAGCTGAAGAACGGTATGTACATCCTATAATCCTGATTATGTTGCCCTGATGGCCTTAACCTCCCTAGAGGTTTTCCCGAGTGTAGCTCGGGGTAAAGTTTCAGCACCACAAGCGGTAACCCCGAGCTACACTCGGGAATACCTTGCAGCGTTGCTCCGGGATCTCTTCTGCACTTACCTTTTCCTGCACTCCCACGATGTCCCCCCTGCAGCGTCCCCGGCATGCCGGCATCTTTCTTCCGGGTTCCGTTCCCTGTGACGTCAGGACATACGGGGGGCGGGAAATGTAAAAATGTCAAAAAGTGACATTCACTAAATACACTAAAATCACATAATAAAACATTACTGTATCATACCATTTCACATACATTTTGTCCCGAGTGCTTTGTCCTGTGCCCTGCCTGCATTTTTACTGTTTTTTCTGCCTGGAAACTGACAAAAGTCCATGGTGTCCAAAAAGCGTCCCTTTAGGTTAAAAGTGGTTTTAGACCAGCTAGAGAACAGCGATAGTAAATTAGAACCACTTGCAGAATTGAGTGATAATGATTCGTTGGGGGAAATTCATCATCAGACACTGAAAACGATCAGTGATGTGCAAACTTGGCGCTATATTTCAAATTTCAGTGTTTTTGGTTTGATTATTGAATTAAATTTA